AGTACGAGCACTTAGTAAATTTTTTATTTCACTGATTTATAGTCATCTAATCTTTTGAATTTATTTATGTTATTTGGAAAATGCCACTTTATTAAAAACTCTTCCTTAACGAACTAGTAAATTTCTATTGAAGCCCATGATTATACAATCATGATTTTACAATTTTATATGCAAATATAAGCAGATGAAAAATGTGAAGTACTTTCCTCATTTCTTATTGAATCTCCTGGTTATATATTGTTGGCAAGTAGGAGTTTTTTTTTCCATAGCACGATTCCACATTAGTTATTTGTTTACTCTAAGATGAAAATGAAACAAAATTTCAATCGAAGCCTATTACTTGAAATGCTTTGAGTGCATAAAATAAAATAAAACAATAACGCAGAGCTTCAAATTTTGGCTAAACAAAGTCAAACAACATAATCAATTTGAAGCAAAGACTACTCCTAACTTTTAAACTTAGCCAGACATGTCTAAGTTTAAAAGTTAACTTTTAATTATCATTTTTTTCCGCACCATATGTTCACCTTTTCTTTATTCCTTTTTCTTTTCTTCTTTTTCTTTTTTTTTTTTTTTTTGGAGAATTTTTTAGTTCTAAAACTTACATTTTTAATAGCAATTACTTTCCAAAAAAAATAAGTAAAACAATTTTTTTAGCCAGACATGCAGCAACTCCAATCCTCAATATGCAAAATTTATACTCTAATGCATAGGCCGAAAAAAATTAAAGCTTGAAATGGACTCACATTCTACTACTCGCTTGCGCACATCACTCAAAGTTTCCCAATCCGAAGAATCCCGAATGGCTCTAAATGCATTGTAGATGGGCTTACTCTGTCCTAATTTTAACTGAAACTCAACTTTTTTGGGCTACAGAAAGTAGAAGGGAAAAAATCAATCAAAATTAACTCAACCGCCTATTTATCTGATTATAAAAATCATTTACTGTACCTGAACTTGTTTGATTGCCGCCGGAGCTTGGGAGAGTCCTTGACGGAACTAAGATGTTTCACTATCCCCCAAACTACGGATAGCCTGTCTATGATCTTTTCCAATGGCACAACTAGTTTTGGCCATGTGGGCTCTACTGTATTTTCCAATTCAATAAAGTCATTTTCCTGCAAGTCCATTGAAATAAAAATCTTTTTCGAATATCCCATAAATTACATGATCCACTATACTATAATATATCCGATTTGATCAAATTTTTAGCAAAGAATTCTGAGGTGTTCAACTTACAAGTTTTCTTAGCAGAGATTGAATTGCGGGGCGAACTTGTCTTGGTTCTATGATATCTTACGGAGGGAATATGAAGCTCTGTAGTAATGGACACTGACTCCATGGACAGATATGTCAAGTTTTGCAGGAGGATGCTGTAGTTGGGCAGCTGCCTTTTTTTCAAGTAAAAAAAAAAAAAAAACATAAAAAAGAAAAAGGGTTCAACTCCAACCTTGGGACCCCACGGCCCCCTCCTAAAGTATCGTAAGAAAGTTAAATCGTGAGATATACCTAATAGGCTTGGGAATAAACACTTGCCTGTATATTGGCACTCATAAAGAGTCTAATTTAATATATCAAGAATCGAACTCTCACGTTACGACTGCCAGCAAAATTGAGACTACCTCACTCATGTCCTTTTCAAGTTAATTGTTCAAATGGTCTTTGAACTTAATTAGGTTCATATCTTTAAAAGGTCATTAAAATTTAAAATGTTGAGTTTTGATCATTGAATTTAAGTCTATATTTGCGATTATTCACTGAATTTTAAAATGTCGAGTTTTGACCATTGAATTTTGAAAAATATCGAGTTTTGGTCACTGAACTTAAGTCCATGTCTTCGATTGCTCATCGAAATTTAAAATATTGAGTTTTGACCACTAAATTTTGAAAAATATTGTGCATTACTCACTGAATTTTAAAAAATATTATACATTACTTAATGTAAACTCGATATTTTTCAAAATTCAACAGTTATACTAGTGAATAATGCATGACATATTTCAAAATTCAATGGTCAAAATTCGACATTTTAAATTTCAGTAAACAATCTAAGACATGGACCTAAATTCAGTGAATAATCGAAAATATTGACCTAAGTTCAATGACCAAAACTTGACATTTTAAACTTTAATGACTAATTAAAGGCATGAACATAAGTTCAGTAACTAAAACTTGACATTTTAAATTTCAGTACCCAATTAAAAATGTGAATCTAAATCCAGTGACCATTGAAACAATTAACTCCTTTTTTTCTTTTTCATTTTTGGCCAAGTCATTGTCATGGGAAACTTGCACCATTGGCCGCCGTTGGACCCAAACCTTTTGTATAATGGGTCAAAAACTAAAATGTAATTCTTTTAAAAAACAAGTTAATATTAATAAAAATAAGTCAATACACTACTATAATTATAATTTATGCATTTTGATACTTCTAAAATATCGTATAATTATATAATTATTGATATTATCAAATGGATTTTATTGCTTGTATAATTTTGTTTACCACATTCATAGATGCTGAGCTAAGTTGAATGTAGGAAGTAAATGACTTGAAATAAAATTCAAATTTAATCTAAAAAGTAAATGAAATTTAAATTTAATAAAAAAGTAATTTAAATTATATTTCATCTATAACGATCCTAAAATTTTTTATATCATACTAAATGTAATATTCGCTAATAAAACGATGTAAATTATATTGGAAAACTTGTTGTGCAAAAATAATAAATGTTAATGAAATAATTTTTTTAAAGAAAAGACGAGTTAGACGTCTTTTTTAGAGACATGTTTGATGCACATTTAACTATTTTTTATATTTGTTTTGACCATTTGATATGATTACGATGTAGCTCTCGAAACGAGTAATGTAGGTGATTTGTAGATTTGGTTAGAGTACAATTGTCGACGAATTTTTAAAATCAGTGTATTATCAAAATTCTGCAAATACTAGTTTGAAATAACCTATTTTAACACGTCATAACTTTCGCTGTGGTTGGCCGTTTCACACGCCATTAATGAGTAGAAAACTAAGATTTGAGTACTTCAAAATAGTATTAATAATACAATAGTTCGACTTCATTTGATGCCCCATAATGAATGTGTCAAAGTAAGCCACGAAGGAAGTGACAATAGATTTATATAAATAAATAATTGTTGGGATCATTTGATCACACATGACCCCATGTGGATCTGCTTATGAGTGGCCAGCAAGTTATGTCGTTTGTTAAAATTTAAATCTAACGGATCTTTTTTACTTGAATAATGAATAAGTTACATAGTGCATAGTTCAATGACGATTTAGATATATTTTTAAGTTTAGTTATAAAGTAGTAATATTGGCAGAGTTTTTTATCATTGAGATAAAATTTTTTAGTTCAATTATTAAAATAATAATACTTGACAAAGTTAAGTGACCATTCTAATAATTAACCAGATTAGCAAACTCTACCTCAATGTGTTTTATACAAACATGGAACACCGGATTATTGGATCGTAGAAGGAGAGAAACTTTTATCATTTAATGCCAACTTAATGGACTAAATGCTGAAGCCATGCAATTGCCAAGGCACGATACTTAGTTTCAATACTCGAGAGACTGAATATTCTTTCTTTGATAATCGGTCAATGCAATTTAAACTGAGAAATATACAAAAAACAAGTTGCACTTCTTGTAACGATTAGAATTGTGTCCTATTTGTATTCGAAGGTAGAGATTTGTGATAAATATCGTATATCATATGTGAGTGCCGTTGAGATATTGTAGAATATGTTTGACATTATAAAGATCCTTTACTGAATTTTGGAATTGTTGGCAAACTAAGTTAATGGTATGGATGAAATCAGATATCATGATGTTTAATAGTGAAGGGACAAATATAGTTGTCAATATATGTGATCTTGTGTGTGAGGTTGGAGAACTAATTTTCCTTAACAAATAATTTGTTGGTCTTCAACCTCACACACAATATGGATATACAAGCATAAATTCTTGATCCTTCATGAAGAACATCTTGGAGAATTGCAATTTTAGATGATTCAAAGTGACTTAAGAAAAAGTACTATCTAATTTTATTTTATTTTTTTTAATATTTAGAACTATAGTTAGAACTAATCTTTGACCCGTACGTTGCACGAGTTTTATATTTATTGTATTTTTATTAGCGTCAAAATTGTAAATTTTTCAAAATTGGTTGAAAATTCGAAGTATTTGATAAAGTCTAATCGTTTGGTTCATTACATTAACGTAAGATGCATGGAGATTTCTTTTTCGTTTTATATTTTTTTCCTCATTTATTTATTTTATTCGTATTATAAATATTTTTTTTCGATTTAAAATACTTTTTAATTCTTTTTTCTTTATGAAAAACTTAATTTTTTCAATTTTAATTAAAAAATATTTATACTGTGAGAAAACACTGTAACACACAATTTTCATATCTCCAAAAAAATTTAAAAATAAAGATAGTATAAAACAGAAAATATTTTACAAAAAGTTACTAGTAAGTAAAAAATTTGAAGAGAAAAGAATTAAAAAGAATTTTAATTGAAAAAAAAATTATTTGCAATGTAAAACTACGATACTGATTTTTCTCGGTACCATATTCATATGTATTTATATTTTGTGCCTCATATATATTTAATATTTATTTTATGTTTATGTTGAAAAAATAAGAATCTGGAAATTTTTTTGAAATTCGGTTTGGTAAGTGAATGTATGGTGTTTTGCATCTTCGGTATTTGTAAGTGCAAAAATCGGTATATAAAAATACAACAAGTTGCAAATACGGTAGGCGGCATATATGGTAAGGTGAAAATATGGTAAGTTGTTTGCAAATACAGTAGGCTGCAAATATGGTAAGTTGTAAATACGATAGACAGCATATGTGGTAAGGTGCAAATACGACAAGTTGTTTGCAAATACGGTAGGCAGCATATATGGTAAACTGCCTACAAATACAGTAAGCTGCATATATGGATTTATAATTTGTTATAAATATATAAAATTTATTTAATATTGAATTTCTTAAGTATTAAATGTTTTAATTCAATATTGTTTCCTTTTTATAATTGTACTTTCGAATTTTTTTTTAAAAAAAAAAGTGGTTTTGAATTTGCTAAATTTTAAATGTGTTTTTTTGTTGAAAATAAAAATAATTTTTTATGTTATTTGTAAAAAAAAAATTTATTGTAATTTTATTAGCGTAATAAGAAGATTTATTATGCATTTTTATTTTTTATATTTTGTGAAAAATTTTGTTTATGGTAATTGACAAATATTCTTCCGCACACGCATCATGCCAACAACATTTAAAAATAATAATTGTAGTATATATTAAAAAAATAAAAAAAATATTATGGATGCAAGGCCTCCATATTACGGAGGCTTAGCCTCCGTATTATGGAGGCTTCATGGAGATAAAGCTTCCATAATATGGAGGCTCAAGCATGAGCCTCCGTTATTAAGGAGGCCTCCATGATAACGGAGGTTGATGTGTGCTTGAGGCTTCGTAATTACGGAGGCCTCAACATGCATTTTTTTACTTTCTGTTTTTTTCATTGGCTCTCAGTACAATAATTTAATTTCATTTAATTAACTTAATTTTTTTAATATTCTTAAAATAAAAATACATAAAATAATGGAGGCTTACTCTTTTTCCATTTTTACACGCTATAACCATGCTTCTCTATTTCTCCACACTATCTCTTTCACCATTTTCTCACGCTATCAACTATGTATCTTTAGAAAGTTTATTTTTGAGCACATAAATAAGTTTAAATAAAAATATTATTTTTATATATGTACGTGAAAGATATATAATAACCATTTGGATGACAAAAAAATAATATCAATCAAAATGTTTACGAACCGTTTAAATAATAATTTATTGAGGGGGTTAATTCAAGAGTAAAAGTGTGAATTCCATAAAAATATGATTAAAAATATGTTTGAAGAAAAATAAAATTTTAAAAATGAAGACCAAACATGTTAAGAAATGAATATATTTATTTTTCGAGAAATGAATTTTTATTACTATTTCATTTTTATTATGAACTGATTCTAATCTTAATATGTTAGATTGTTATTCAAAATTACATAATCTATCAAATATAATTTTTAAAATTAATTTTTATAAAGTAATATGTTTTTATGATTTTTTTTTGGAAGGTGAAATATAATAGTACTAAAAAATATAAAATAATTAAATTTTTATTAATTTTAAAAAATAATAGGCCTCCATAATTATGGAGGCTCAAGCATGAGCCCCCATAATAACGGAGGCCTCAACATGAGCCTCCATAACTTTACTTTACTAAAAAAAAAAAAGAAATTCATCAAAACATATTACTTTATAAAAATTAATTTTAAAAATTATATTTGATAGATTATGTAA